TGACTCTTTTCCTGAAGTTTTGCAAATTTTATTTATAAATCTTTCATCTCTCATATGATTTCATCAATTTTCATTTCTTCTTTCTTTGATGTAACTAGTGAAGATTGAATCATAGATATAAGATAGTTTATAGGTATTTTTATCTTAGATGTTTGTAATGGTCTTTGAATATCCACCTTATGCTTTCTCTTTTCTCTCTTTGTAACCAATTCTATTGCCTCCTCCATTTCTTTCCAATTTATTCTCAATCCTTCTTCTTCTTCTTTATCTTTAAAAAAAAAATTCCAACTTTTCTTGCAACTCTCTATCATCCGCTTGAAGAAATAATTCTACTTTGCTTAGATCTAGTAATTATATTTCTATCTTTTTTAATTAAAAATATTTTCTTTTGAACTCTCTTAATAATTCTATTGCTTGAAGATCCATCTTAAGTCTTTTAATTCACTCAAAAAATGACTTTTTTATAATCCAATTACTATCTTTTAAAAAAATTCATCTTTTAATGCTTAAAAATATTTCTCCTATGAATCTCCAAAATATCTTATAGTAGACTTTATAAGATTTATTATTTTTGGTGAAAAAGCTAATTTAAATAATTGAACCATTTCTTTTTCAAAAACATGCTTCAATTCCATTTCTTTTACATAACATCTTAAATACTTTGTAATATCTTTCCTTTCAAATTGATCAATCTTATCTATAATCACTTATAATTTTTTATTTGCCATACCTTCTTTGCAATCTTTAAATTGTTATTGTTGCATGAATAGAACAAAAGCCTCAAACATGCTTGTAGAATTGAAATCAAAATATATGCTTTCACCTCTACTTCTAGCTCTATTTCCAACTGCACTTGAAGCATCAATTGAAGTATCACTAAAAACTCCTTCTTCCATTCTATTTCTTTTTTTATCCATAATTCAAAAAAATCAAAAAAATTCCAAACACCTTCTATCTTAAGCTTTTTACGTCATGTTCACTACTTATGTCATATTACATGTATTCTTACTAGAGAATGTACTAGGCACCTAGCTATGAAAGGTAAGTAGAAATACAACAAAAATCCTACTAAGTCTATTAGAGTCTTATATAAACTTTAGATAATCTTTAATAATCCTAATCAAACTTTAATCAATTTAAAATAAATTTAAAAGAAGTTACAAAAGAAATACAAAGAAGTCATAAATTAATTTTTTTTCAATAAAATAAAATAAATATTAAAAAATAGAAAATAAACCTTTAAAGAAATAATAATAATCTTAAAGAAATTTTTTAAATATTTTTTTCAAAAAAATAACAAAAAATCCTAAAAAAATATTCAAAAATAAAAAATCTAAAAAAAATTTAATTTAATTCTAATTAAAATCTTAATAAATTTTAATCAAATTTTAGATAAATCCTAATCAAAATCTTAATTAAAATCACAATAAACTTTAATAAAATTCTTGGTCAAACCCTAATTAAAATCCTAATTAAAATTATAATGAATCTTAATCAAATCCTAAATCAAATCCTAATAAAATCCTAGTTAAATCCTAATCAAATCTTAGAAAAATCTTAATCAAATTCTCAAAAAACTCTAATCAAATTCTAATAAAATCCTAATCAAATCTTAATCAAATCCTAATCAAATTTTAGTCAAATTTTAATCAAATTTTAGTCAAATTCTGATAAAATCCTGACAAAATCCTAAATTCTAACTAAATCCTAAATGAATTTATAGAAGATTAAAAATTCAATAATTAATGATGAAACTATTGATTTTGACCCAAAATTTATATATCTTACAAAAAAAAAGTTAACAACAAGCACAATAAGTTTAAAGAAGATCACACATATTAAATAAATGATAATTCTAAATTTTTGCTCATAGATGGGCCGGCCCCCTTCTCCAATCTTAATATTGATATTCTTGAGCTACAATCTTTTAATTTTATTTTTTAATTTGTTCCGAATTTTTTACAATTGTCAAAAATCAAGTTGATTATCTTTGAGCAAAATTATATTTTAATTTAACTAGCAAATTGACACATATTTTAGGAATCATTATTAGTCTTGTAAATCCTAATTTTTGAGACCACAACCTACAAAAATCCTCATATGCTTGAATCTAACTACTTAATTGACCTCAAATTTTTCATGCACACTTACAACAAGCATAACAACAAACTTTGCAATTTTTACTTATAAAAATACTACAAAACTTACAAAATCTTGAAATTTATAAACTTATTTTTATTTCTCAAAATCAAAATCCATCAAATACATCACTGATTTTGAAAATCCCTCAAAATCTCAATAATAATGCAAATGACATGAAACAAACTCTTAAAAAACTTTTCTTAATTCTGATCTAAAATCTTATTCTTCAATAGACATAAGACCTTGGAACTACCATAGATGTATGGTTTTGTGCCTTGAGATTTGATTTTAATTGAGGTTGACCATTGGTCCTCTTTACATATCAATTTTTAGTAATTTGAGATAATTTTTACTTTGATTTATTTTTAATTCTCTTTTAAACATGCATATATTAATTTTTTATTTTATTTATTTTGATTTTACTCATTTATGCCTCTACAAAATAAATAGAAGTTCCTTCAACAAAAAGTAGTAATAAGACTTATATTTTTACTACCTTTCTATTAAGCTCTTCTATAATAACATCCATATTTTTATTTTTGACTATATAGTCATATTACCACATAACAATGTTTGAGCACTCGTTATATATATTTGTTGGCTAATGATGTAATTAGTTGGAATAGAAAGAAATAACCAATGATAACATTATTTACCACCAAAGCAAAGTATGTGGCAGCTAATCATGTTACAAAGGAGATAATTTGGCTTCAAAGGTTTTTTAAAGACATTAAATTTTTATAAGATGGTTCCTTGATTATTTTTAGTGATAAGAAAAGTTGCAATTTTTTTTCAAGGAATCCTATATTCCATGCTTGTACTAAGTATGTTCAAATTCAACATTACTTTCTTTGTAAAAAAATTGAAAGTGGCAACATTAACTTAATTTTTTGCAAGATTTAAGACATGGTTGTAGATGTTTTGACCAAAGGACTAGTTTGTGAGAAACATTGTAAATTCAAGGAGATGATGGGCATCATCAAATTGATTTAGTCTAATATGTGATTAAGTAGGAGTATTAACAGAGTGTGTAACTCCTATCATAAAAATAATATAAAAGATTCTTAAAGATTTTAAAAATCAACAATGTTCAATTATCATGTGGCCACTTGTCCTATTAGGCTACATGATGGCTTGATAGGCTATGGGAGCTAAATGATATTATCACCAACAAATGGTGGCTACAACTTATCATTCAGCAAAGCAATATGAACCGCCCATTCTACATTATAATAGAAGTTATACACTTTATTAATATAATATTGCTATAAAAATGTAATAAGTTATGACTTTAAGTATTTTCTATAATTTTTTAAGATCTTCTAAAATCTTTCATATTTTTTTGTTACTTTTTATAAATTATAAAAAATATATTTTTTAAAAAAATTTATTAAAATAAATATTTATAGCAATAATTTTACTTGTTAAATAAAATTTTAAATTTTTTTTCTTATTCTATTGTATTTATTTGGTGAATAAATCTTTGATTATTTTTTTATTAATAAAAAATCATATTTAAAAGAAAATTTTATTATTGATTTTTATTTTATTTTATTTTATATTTATTTACCAATTTCTATTCTTTAAATTTATTATATAACTTATTTAAATTTTCTTTAGAATTTTATACTTGAACAATACCAAATTAGAAATTATGTAATTCTTTTTATTACTTATAAGTTTTTAAACAAAATATATTCTATGTCATATTTGGTTTTTCTTACTTTATAGCTAATTTTTCTAATTACACATTTAGATAAGTTAGACTTATTGCATTTTTGTGGTAATATTATATTAATAGAGTGTAAAACTCATATTAGTCATAATATAGAATAAGTGGTTGACACTGCTTTGCTGGTTGATAAGTTGTAGCCACCATTTGTTGGTGGTAACACCATTTAGCAACTATAGCCTACCAAGCCATCATGCAACCTAACAAGACAAGTATCTACTTCTTAATTGGACATTGTTAAGAAGGCTAGTTGTTTGTATGTTCATATTAGAAAGTCCATGTGGTTAGACATTGGAATAGTAGTATAAAAACTCAAACCAAAAGCTCATTTTAGCAAGTAGTTTTAGTTCTCTTTTTTTCACATATTTGTACTTCTTTTCTAGCCATATACTTCCTCATATTATATCACATATTAAACAGATAGAATGAATTTGTTATAACTTAAAATAAATATTTATTTTGAATTAATATGTAAAAAATTATAATAATAAAAAACCTGAATTTTAGAGAATAATCATTCAACATTTAGACTAAGTTACAAAAATTAAAAGCAAAGAAAAGAATATGTAAGTTTATATATATATATATATAAACATACATTTATTACTTGAAAGAATTCAATTTCAACAATATAACATAAAGAATAAAGCAAATGCACTTGATAATGAGTTGAAAAGTTTATTTTTCCCCAAAAGATTATACATTGAAGTTCTTGATAAACAACAAACAAGTAATTTGTTCACCATCTAAACCAACAATAAATATTTTATGCCTGGATACCAAACGATACAGGATAAACATGTATTTTTAATTTCCAAAGACTAAACACCTAAAATCATTACTTGAAAAGAAAAGAAAAGGAACAAACAACGATGTGTACTAACAGGAGAACAGCCCACAATCGACTAGTCCAAAATGACACGTAGGAACAGTGCGGCCACGTAGGACTGAAGCGCTCGAGAGGTGAGGGGGGAGTCAGTCGACGTGGACGCCACGTCGGAAGGCTGACAAACGACGCGGCGAGGCTATCTGTGCAGATAGAAATGGATTTTCATGTGGCGCTGGGATTCGGAGCCTGGTGTCGCAGAGTGTGCTGCTGCTTCTGCATCGTCGGAGCACAATCCTGCTTATCAGTAATGTAATGTAATGTAATGCAATGTTGGTGAAGTAGATGAAGAACAGGAAGAAAAAGAATTCCCTTCCTGCACTGTGGACGAGGAGACTGACTGACGGACTGACTAGGTGGATCGCCTTTGGTTGCTCGCGTACTTCATTGACGACGAGGTTATATTTTGGATGGGAGACGACCATGAACGTGGCGATGTGGTTGTTCGCTGGCTGGATGACATGATATGATATGCCCTGCGCATTATCTCCGGCAGATTCTGTCTCAGTTTCGTAGAGTGGCAATTTCTTGTGGATTTTGGGAGGGATTGTCGTGGATTTGTAGCATCCTGGTTGTGGGGTCCAGGGTTGCGGCGGTTGATTAGTCGTCGGGGAAGGAGGCCCAGTTAGGATTTTTGCATCTTTTAGAGAAGCTGGTTGCGCTCAGGCCTTTGTTGATGCGCGGGCAGGAGAAAGGGCTCGGCGATGGATTGTTCTGTGGAGTTGGCAGGTTTAGGGGAGAGTAGCGTCGTGAGATTTAGTCCCAAGGTAGTGAATGCTTCGTTGAGTTCCTCCTTTAGTGCTGCTGGGAACGTCTCTTCGCGGCGTTGCTGGGATGGAATTAGAGCAAATGGGGTTCGAGATACGCAAGGGGTCCAGGGCGGGGTGCCTGCTCTTCGACAGAAGCGGTCTCGTCAGGAAATTGGGGTGTTTGCGGCTGCAAAGACAGTCGGGGACTTGCAGTCGACGAGCAAGGGTTTGCAGAACAGTTTTGCGCGCCATTTCAATGATTTGATCCGTAGACATTGTGAGAGGGTGCCATTGGGATGGGCATCCATCAGCCAACAGCCAAATGGGAAACTGTCTGAAGGCGATGACGGGAAAGGGATTGAATTGAAAGGAGAAGAGGTCGGGAATGAAGAGGCGCAGCCGTCGGGTCAAAGCGAGAGGAAGCACAAAACTGTGTTGATTCTGATGAGTGACACTGGAGGGGGCCATCGTGCGTCTGCGGAAGCAATCAAGTCCACTTTCGAGCTTGAGTATGGAGATGAGTACAAGGTGTGTTCAGTAATTGCCCTGTTTTTATTTATTTTGTTTTATTCTCGTGTATGCAGATGCGCTAAGTTTGATAGGTCTTTGTTAGTTGTCACAGAATGCTAATGGCTGTAATTGTGGTTGAAATTTTCTTTGTTGGCAATGATGTTCGCTTCAAACATAAGTCTTTGCTCGATTGGATAAGTATTGCAACTGCGATGCAATCTAATGCATCGTGTTTAACTGAATTTTTAGATTCAGTAATGCTTAGTTTTATCTTAATCAGGGGCACAGAAGTATCTGTCAAGACTACCTACTGCTCAAATTAGCGCGCAGTTTAGTCTCAATGCTCACCATTTCCAGGAAGATTCCGTCCCTGCGATTGTTCGGACCTTTCACGTCTCATTTATGTACAGCGTTGACATTCACTTAAATCATCTAGAGGTCTCAACCTTCTGTTGCGATATATTGTTGGTTGGGTGCAAAATTCAGGTATTCGTTATTGATCTATGGAAGGAGCATACTCCTTGGCCTTTTAACCAAGTTCCAAGAACTTACAGCTTTCTGGTGAAGCACGAGAACCTGTGGAGGTTTACGTTTCATAGCACTGCTCCCAAGCTAGTGCATCAATCACAAATGGCCGCAACAGCTCCTTTTGTCGCACGGTACTCCACTTCAGGATATTGGTACTATCATTAAGGCTTTAATAAGTCCTGCCGCATTGCTGCCCGAATCTTTCTTGTAGCTAGTCGTAGGACTTCTGCGTTGTTAGTATGGGAGCATGGATACTTAAAGCCTTGGCCTTTTTACTGTGTGAGTGATCTTAAAAAGTTTTGATCCTGGAACTTATGCCATTGTCTCGTTGTCAGAGAGGTGGCGAAGGGGTTGGCAAAATACCAACCTGACGTTATCGTAAGCGTTCATCCGTTGATGCAGCATATTCCATTGCGGGTTTTAAGAGCTCGGGGCTTACTTGATAAGATCCCTTTCACAACTGTCATTACAGACCTGAGCACTTGCCATCCTACATGGTAAAACACTTTCTTTCCTGTAGAATTCATCTTTTTCTTATCTCCATTTTATACAATTTAGGCATATTATTTCTACTAGAAGACGCCGTAATTGTCTCTGCTTGTGCTCCGTGGTTTTTTTGTTCTCTCTCTCTCTCTCTCTCTCTCTCTCTCTCTCTCACGCACACACATACGTATATATTTCGTTTGTGGCAGGTTTCACAAGCTTGTGACTGCCTGCTTCTGCCCGACAAAAGAAGTGGCGGACAGAGCTTTAAAGGCTGGCCTCCGTCAATCTCAACTTCGTGTACATGGGCTTCCCATTCGGCCCTCCTTCGCTACATTCACTCGTCCCAAGGTTTGAATGCCACGCCCAATATTCAATTATGAGCTCAGAAATAATGCAGCCTTGTACAATATCAAACTCTAGTTTGGTTATGGCCCTCCAAATGAAGATGGATGTTGCTTGCCCTAGGATGAGTTGCGGAAAGAGCTCGACATGGACGAGAGCCTTCCTGCTGTGCTTTTGGTAGGGGGAGGTGAGGGCATGGGCCCTGTGGAACAAACTGCTCGTGCCCTTGGACAATCACTGTATGATGCCAATACTGGCAAAGCCGTTGGTCAATTGGTGGTTGTTTGTGGTCGCAACAAACGCCTTGTGAAGAAGCTAGAGGCGATGAACTGGAATATCCCTGTAAAGGTACCTTGAGAATACGTAAAATTCCTGCTATACTTGAAGGACAGATTCAAACCTTTTGTTTGTTAATAAACTAGCATTCTAATCGTTTACAGTTACTGTTGAATGAAGAAAATTGTCCTTACTTTTACACCAGGGCGGGCATATCATCGCATTGTCTGATCCCATTCATTGGGTGTCGGTGTCGTGTGTTGTGAACAGTTATATTAGTCTGGGAAATCTCTATCTTTCCGCATACGCTTGATGGCTTGTCTCTTTCATGTGCAGATCAACGGCTTTGTAACAAATATGTCTGAATGGATGGCAGCGAGCGATTGCATTATAACCAAGGTAAGATATCTCTCCTGTTTGAGCATGGATTATTTTTTTGATTTGAGCACAGGCTGAGTTTTCAGAGTTTTATTCAATCTGGCGTTTACGGGAAATGAATACATTTGTATTTATGATTGCTGCTCTCTTTTCGTCTATAGCCGTGGTGTTGTGCTTTCGTGGGTTATCGCCTTCATTTGAAAGCTGAAACTGTCCTGCAAATTTCTTTAAATGCATACTCATTGTTTGCATCATGTCTTTTGTAATCTCCGGCCATTATTTTATTTTCCCCCTTGCGCATGCAATCTAACCAGAATCCTTGTGTCTCTTTTCACAGGCAGGGCCTGGTACCATAGCTGAGGCAATGATCAGGGGACTACCAATGCTTCTGTTTGATTTCATAGCTGGACAGGTAAAATTTTACGTTCTTTTGCAGTTCCGTTTTATGTCTTGTATTTCGGTTCCTTGTTTTCTAAAATTTGTAGTCTAGCATAGATCTCTGCGAAGTATGCAAATAGTACACTACCTAATGAATGAAAAATTTAGAGGAATTGTACATGCGGACAAACTTGGATAGATAGGATGTGATCCCGAAAATATTTCGAGGACACATCATCTTAATTAAAGATTTTCGTTGCAAGTTAACTGGTACAGGTTTACGGGACTTAATATCAACATATTCTGATGGTGGTCATACTTTTATTTTTGCAGGAGGTTGGAAACGTATCGTTTGTTGTGGAGAATGGCGCTGGTACTTTCTGTGAGGAGCCGAAAGAGATATCTAGAATTATTGCAGACTGGTTTGGCTTCAAGGCTGATCAGCTAAGTAAAATGGCAGAACAATGTAAAAAGCTAGCACAACCCGATGCCGTTTTCAAAATAGTGCATGATCTAGATGACATGGTGAATAACAAGCACAGGTACCTTGAACACTTGAATGTTAGGTACAGAGGGCTTATTTAGGTTTAGTTTGCTTTTGGAACAATCCAGGCGATAATGCGGCCCTATTACTATTCAATAAATTGCTTCTATGATTGACTGCGGATTTACTACTTTTCCAGAATGTTCCCTGAATGGCAATCTGAATCCCTGCTGTCAAGGTGCTAACCCAAACTACGCTTGGCATCATAATGGACGTTTCATGCCAGTTTGTGTTCTCTGCATGTTGGCGTGACCTTCCCCCAAAACTAATGGCGATAAGACGTTTAGCCATAATCCTGACCCAGCCAGTAGATGGGCCGAGATTCCCACTAATCTAGGGATCACCCTTGTGTGCCACTCGCTAAGAATAGCACAAGAGCCTTGACATGTGATTGGATCAGGAGGGAAATGGCGGATTGTCAGACTTCTGTAACCCCTTCGTCAATTATGCTCTGTCCCTCATTGCCCTATATCGTTCACATTTTGGTTTGTACTGGGGTGTTCCGCCCACATGGCAGCGAACCAGAGCTGGGAACTGACAGGATGACTGTTTTTCGTGGTCCATTCCTCCAAAACTCAGGAAGTTGACTACATCCAGAGCTTTGACATGTAAATCTATACCTGCCCCGGAGCTCTTCGCTACTCCTGATGGTGAAGTCATTTCCTCGCCATGTGCAACATCACTGGAGCAGATTGGACAGATGGCCATGAAGATGATCACTCCGACAATTCACGTTCTAGGACGAAGTGCTGATCTCCGTGTGCCATTCACAGACGAGGTGAACAACTTCCTTTTTAAAATCTTAGTTTTTTTTTTTTTTAAATAAAAAGTTTGTCCGTTAAGAAGCATGCTGACCCGTCAAATCCCATGACTGGTGCATCGCCCCTGCCTTCAAGAGCATCTCGGAAATACGTGGGGCAAACCTACTTTTTTTTTTTTTTTTTTTTTTTTTTGAAATAAACGGAGAAACTTCATTGCCATAAATAGTGTACATGACCAATCCCAGCTAAATACAGCCTGGGGACTGACCCAGAAATAAAGAATATGACAGACTACGACGGACTGAGGTAACACCCATGGGCCCTTCTCAACCTTGGCTAAGTTTAAAAGGACATTCTTTTTACAAGCAGTATGTACTTTGACCCACCCTATCTTGCCATAATCTAGGATGTCTAACTAAATGCATTAAATAATTTTAGCACCCAACCACCTTATTGCATTGGACGTGACATCATTTTGTTCAATTCAAAGCATTAAGAATACTACTGAGCAAATTTGTATCCAAATATTATGGAACTTGTATAAGAGGTATTCAGAGAAAATCTCCTAGCACCATGGCAAAGATCGCCAAAGACCTTGTGTGGTTATTTCAAGACTCAATGTGTTGAAGATATGCATATCTTACTGCCAAGTGCATTGAACGAAGAAATACTTCCAAAACTTGTGTAGTACTAATTCATTGGTCTTTCATAAGCATACTAGACAATTACGACTTAACATGTTATCAATCAATCCTCGCCAAGCATTGATGGCCATGACTCTATGCCATATGAATCATAAGATGTTAGCTTCTTTACTTGTGCATTCTTTGATCCACATTATCTTTTGGTTAAAGCACTATTCTAAAGATAACATACCTTACTACTTGATTATTATAAGTTTGAAGACT